TCAGGTGATCTGGTATTCCCATCTCTTTCAGTATTTTCCAGTTTATTATGATCCACACAGTCAAAGGCTTTGGCACAGTCGATAAAGCAGAAATAGATGTTTTTCTGGAACTCTCTAGCTTTTTCCAGGATCCAGCGGATGTTGGCAATTTGATCTCTGGTTCCTTTGCCTTTTCTAAAACCAGCTTGAACATCTGGAAGTTCACGGTTCACATATTGCTGAAGCCTGGCTTGAAGAATTTTGAGCATTACTTTACTAGCGTGTGAGATGAGTGCAATTGTGCAGTAGTTTGAGCATTCTCTGGGATTGCCTTTCTTAGGGATTGGAATGAAAACTGACCTTTTCCAGTCCTGTGGCCACTGCTGAGTTTGTTGGCTAGATACACTATATTTTTATGAAGAATTTTTGTGGTTAGGAAACGCTCCAGGTATCTAATCCACCAAAAGTGATGTGACAATAGGTTTTATTGTTATATATATATAATGGGATCTTTATTGAGCTGTAATTCACAGAAAATATTATACTAGTTTCAAGTGCACAACATAATGACTAGATATTTGTATATACTGCTAAAGGATCACCACAGTAGGTCTAGTTAACATCTGTCACCTCTCATAGTTAAAAATATTTTTTCCTTATAATGAGAACTTTTAAAATCTTCTCTCTTAGCAACATTTAAATATAAATACAGTATCATTTACTATTACCACCAAGTTGTACATTAATGTTCTGGACTTATTTATTTTATAACGGGAAGTTTGTACCTTTTGACCACCTTTTCCAATTTCGCCCATTCCCTTCCCCCTGCTTCTATCAACTCCTTATTTCCCTAGACTCCATATTTTTATACTAACAAAAAAAATATGTCCCCATCTGACAGAAAAGGAACCTGATGCTGGAAAGTCACAAAGCTGGTAGATATTGGAGCCAAAATGCAAACACTAGTTTTCTGATTATAAATCTCGCCTTCTTCCCACTAAACCATTAAAATCTAGCATTTCAATTACATACTTTAAGACACTTAAAAGCAGAGTGCTACAGGAGTATGTGAAGCATTCTGAATCACAGTTCACAGATAACATTTTGGAAAAGTTTAATTGGAGTGATTTCTGAGTTATCTCTTTTGCAGTAGGAAGGGGAAAGAAGTACTAATGCAGAAATGTGTGCATGTAGTCCCCAAATATAGTTGATTTTGATTGTTTTACTGAGAAGCAAGGAATAACTAAAAACAGCGATTCTTCAAGTTCACAGACAAACACTCAGGCCTTATGTAATTAATCACAAGCTTTTTCTTATGCAAATACTTCAATGTGAAATCATATCCATAAGTGCAACTGTGAAATCCTTTAGGAAATTGAAACAGAACACAGTTCAACTGTGCAAGTGTGCCTTACTCTCTAGCTACTTTTTTTTTTTTTTTTGGCTGCTCTAGCAGCCTGCGAGACCTTAGTTTCCCAACCAGAGATCGAACCCATGCCCCCTGCCTTGAAAGGGAGAATTTTAACCAGTAGAGGGCCTGGGAAGTCCCTAGCTATATCCATATATAATGCTAAACAATTTCTGAAAAGAGAGCTGACTTTTCAAATATATTTTCTGAGTGACTTTTATTACAGATTTGAAGATATCTCCCGTTTTTTTCAACTAATGCACATTTTTTGGTCACAGACTATGTCATAGTACGAATGACACTGTTAACCACTGTCCGAAAAAGCACACGCCTGGCCTATTTTTTTAATGAAAGCCAAGAAACACAGAACGTGACTTTGTAACAGTGACTGTTTTCCTATAAGGATTCCAAGGATGGCTGCAAGAGTGGCTACCGTCATCATTTGTTAGCTGAGTGACCTTAAGTTTCTTAAGCTCCTTTTTCCTAACTGGGGTAAAATTGCTTTACAATGTTGTATTCATTTCTGCTATACAACAACGTGAATCAGCTGTAACTACACACATATCGCCTCCCTCTCGAGCCTCCCTCCCACCCCCTCAGCCCACCCCTCTAGGTCATCACAGAGCACTGAGCTAAGCTCCATGTGCCATAGAGCAGCTTCTCACTAGCTATCTATTTCACACATGGTAGTGTATATGCTATGCTAATGCTAAGTCACTTCAGTCGTGTTCGACTCTGTGCGACCCCATCCCTGGGATTCTCCAGGCAAGAACACTGGAGTGGCTTGCCATTTCCTTCTCCAATGCATAAAAGTGAAAAATGAAAGTGAAGTCGCTCAGTCACGTCTGACTCTTCGTGACCCCATGGACTGCAGCTTACCAGGCTCCTCCGTCCATGGGATTTTCCAGGCAAGAGTACTGGAGTGGGGTGCCATTGCCTTCTCTGGTAGTGTATATAGGTCAATGCTATTCTCTCAATTTATCCCATTTTTAATTTTTTAAAATATTTATTGATTTGACTGCATCTCATCTTAGTTGAGGTGCACGTGTTTAGTTGCCCCGTGGCATGTGGGGTCCTAGTTCCCTGATCAGGGATTGAACCCACATCCCCTGTATTGGAAGGAGGACTCTTAATCACTGGACCTCCAGGGAATTCCCCACTTAAATTCTTTAAGCCTTCATTTCCTTAACAGTAAAATGGGGATGGGCTTTCCTGGTGGCTCTGTTGGTAAAGAATCTGCCTGCATTGCAGGAGACCTAGGTTCTATCCCTGGGTCAGGAAGGTCCCTTGGAGAAGGGCATGGCAACCCACTCCAGTATTCTTGCCTGGAGAATCCCATGGACAGAGAAGCCTGGCGGGCTACAGTCCATGGGGTTGCAAAGAGTTGGACATGACTGAAGTGACTTAGCATAAATCTTTAGAAGAAGAAACAAGTTGAAGAGGGAAGGAGGGAGGCAACAACCAAACCATGACACTCTTGTCTTTTTTAAAATCGGACAACCCAGGCGCTTGCCTGGTGGTTCAGTGGTTAAAAAATCTGCCTTACAACACAGAGGAAGTGGATTCAATACCTGGTCGGAGAACTAAGACCCTATGTGCCCTTGTGCTATAAAAAACACCAAGCACAGTCAAAAATAAAAATATATATACATAATATTTTTTTTTTAATGGACAGCAGTTAGGTTGATCACAGTAGGGAGGATCCAATACCCAAGTGCTGAGTACAGACTTGGCAAAAATGAAGGCAAAGAAGTGTTTCGCCACTGTGTGTTTCCCTGCCCCCACCCCAAGCCTGGGGATGCACAAAATCTCTTGGGTTATAGGGCTGGAGTGAGATCAGAGATCATGAGGAAAATGGGCCAAGACTGGAGCAACAGACAAACATGGAAACAATAGTGATGCCACCATTCACATGGCTGGAAAAGGAGCCCAAAGTTACAGGGGACAGAGGATGAATTCTGACTCCAGGGCTAAGAGTTCAGCCCAGAAGACCAGACAGTTAGTGTGAGCAGACTTTTGGGAGGACGAAGAGAGCACATTATTTAAATATTATTATTTTAAGTCTTTGTTGAATTTGTTACAATATCGCTTCTGTTGCTTATGTTCTGGTTTTATTTTTACCATGAGCCATGTGGGATCTCAGCTCCCAGACCAGGGATCAAAGCCCCACCCCTTGCATTGGAAGGCAAAGTCTTAGGCACTGGATCACCAAGGAAGTGTCTCTAAATCTTATTGTTGTCACTGTTGTTATTGTTCAGTCAGCAAGTCATGTCCAACTGTCTGTGACCCCATGGACTGTAGCACGCCAGACTTCTCTGTCCTTCATCATCTTCTGGAGTTTGCTCAAACTCATGTCCATTGAGTCATTGATGCCATCCAACCACCTCATTCCCTGCTGCCTCTTCTCCTCCTGCCCTTAATCTTTTCCAGCATCAGGGTCTTTTCCAGTAAGTCGGCTCTTCACAACAGGTGGCCAAAGTATTGGAGCTTCAGCATCAAGATCAGTCCTTCCAATGAATATTCAGGGTTGATTTCCTTTAGAATTGACTGGTTTGATCTTCTTACTATCCAAGGGACTCTTAAGAGTCTTCTCCAACACACAGTTCAAAAGCATCAATTCTTTGGCGCTCAACCTTCTTTATGGTTCATCTCTCACATCCGTACATGACTACTGGAAAAAACTATAGCTTTGACTAGATGGACCTTAAATCTTATTAAACTGTCTTTAATAGTGGAAATTGTTATATTGTTTAAAATATGCAACTGCTTCCACCAGCACCATTTGCATCCTGCTTTGGAAAGGCAGCCCACGTGTGGTATGTGGCGAGTCTGTCCAGTTTCCAGGGCTGGGGAATGGAGTGAATGAATAATCACTGCTCTCTCTTTGTTCAACCCTTCATTCCCGAGACCTGGATAGACTCTTCAGAAGACAGCCTTTGAGGAACGGAGGATTAGACCCAACTCTCCCCTGGCAGACACAGGTGATGCAGCTCACAGATGAGGCTGGGGCAACATTCCAGGGCAGATTAAGAAGGAAACTCATCACTCCAGGTGAAAGCCAGAGGCAAGGGAGAGCGTGCCCTACCCCCATGCTAGGAGACAGACACATAGGATTTCTTCCAGTGTTATTAGCAAATGGGGCCCCCAGAATTTTAAAGAATGATTTAAGGGAGTTGCATTGGAGACAGGAAAGAACAACAAAAACCAGGAATACTCAGTCCTAGGGAAGGACTGATGCTGAAGATGAAGCTCCAATACTTTGGCCACCTGATGCAAAGAGCTGACTCACAGGAAAAGACCCTGATGCTGGGAAAGATTGAGGGCAGGAGGAGAAGGGCTTGAGAGAGGATGAGATGGTTGGATGGCATCAGCAATTCAGTGGACATGAGTTTGTGCACGCTCCGGGAGAAGGTGAAGGACAGGAAAGCCTGGTGTGCTGCAGTCCATGGGGTCAGAAAGAGTCTGACATGACTGAGCAACTGAACGAAAAAAAAATGAAGGAGACCCCACAATTTCTCAGGTTCTAAACCACTCACTCCCAAAGCCCAAGTATTTGCACCAACAGAAAGCGGGCTGCTTTGAACACACACATCATCCCATGCCCCCATGATAGGGTTGGAGAGGCGCTGGACATGGGCACCCAGCAGGCAGGACCTGCTCAGGACCTCCAGATCCACGGAGCAGAGAACTCACAGCACCACCAGCGGTGAGGCGGCACTGATGTTCCTGAGACTCTGGGATCCTGTTATTTATCAGAGACAGAAGGTACAGGCTCTGGACTCTTCACCAGTGGACTCTACCACTCTTCTTTTTCTGTGTTCTACGTGGGAAGTTTTTTATTGCAGCTATTCCCATCTTGGAGCTTCCCTGGTAAAGTGGTAAAGAATGTGCCAGCCAGTGCAGGAGATGCGGGTTTGATGACTGGGTCCAGAAGATCCCCTGGAGAAGGAAATGGCAACCCACTCCCGTATTCTTGTCTGGGAAATCCAATGGACAGAGAAGCCTGGAGGGCTATGGTCCATAGAGTCACAAAGAGTCAGATACGACTTAACAATGAAACAACAATGAAATCCAATCTTCCCGCCACCATTTTGTACCAGATACGTGCACGCTTCAGCCAGGCTCCCTCCTGGATGGACGGAACAAAACCGGACGATTTGACCGTGGCCATGCCCACACTTCCAACATGGAGAGTGAGGAGCCGCATAAACCAGTCGACAGAGAAAGGGATGAGCAAGAATGCAGAGACCAGTAAGGGCCAGCATCGACTGAGCCTCGGTGGCTCCATTCTCCAGCACCCATCAAGTCCCAGCTTGCAGCCCTGCCCTTTGATTTCCGTCACCCTGAAAACAGTCTCCCCTGTTGCTCAGGCCAGCTCAAATCAGTTTTTGTGATTTGCAAGCAGTAGAGTCCTAAGTAACAGTGAACTTCATTCCAGAATTTGAGACATTGCTTTTTCTATAGAAACAAGCTCCATTTTGAGACTTTTAGCCTACAGGAATGATTAGAAGTGCTTCTCTGGTAGCTCAGTGGTTAAAAAAAATCCATCTGCAGTGCAGGAGACCTGGGTTGTTTCCCTGGATTAGTAAGATCCCCTGGAGAAGGAAATGGCAACCCACTCTAGTATTCTTGCCTGGAGAATTCCAGGGACAGAGAAGCCTGGCGGGCTACACTCCATGGGGTCACAAGGAGTCACACATGACTGAAGACACTTAGCATGGTTAGAAACACAGACTCACTAAAAAGACAGGTGGAGCATGTTAGATCATTAATTAGGTCATAATCTCACTCTGACCATCTTTATCCCAACCTGTTTCTGTCACGGAATTACTATTGCCTCACTTGGTCACACCTTAAAGGCTCGTCTCAGTTTTCACCACGACTACCCTCCTCAGTACTGACATAAAGAAAGGGTGGGATTTGGGGGCACAGGGGGGTTGGTGACCAGGAATAGATAGCGTGGGTCCCACACAGTCATGAGCCTACTTCTGCTCTTCGTTGATGTCCTGAGCAAGTCTGCCTGCTTCAGAAGTGGATTTGAAGAGCTCCACATCTCAGAGGAAGAAGCAGTGAGGGAGAGTCATTCTTGAAAGCTGAAGGTGTGATCTCTGAGGCAGCATGGAACACATGGACCCAGGGTAATATTGAGACGAAGAGAGGAAAGGAATTACCAGATGCCCCCAAAGACACACAAGGCAGAGAGATGCTCTGATTGGAAGGTTTACCAGGCTCTGAAGCGATGGGAGACTTTGAACAGGTAAATTACAGCGAGGCAGGAGGAAGAAGAGTACAATTGTACAGGACTGAGGAGCAGCTCAACACACCTCTCTACAGGAAGCATTCTCTCCACGTATCCCAAGGAGTGTTCAGAGGCGAGTTCATTCGCGAGTGTAAAGTGTCATTCTTTTTCCCATCCTTAGAGCTCAGGGACCAATTCAAACGAGAAAAATGTAAGGAATTCCCCTGCCCTAGCTGATAAGGTCGGCATCTGTTTACTGCCTAACTTAGCAGAAAACCCTGCTTGATCTTTATCAAGTGATGAGATAAACATTTGTATAGAATGCATATGTTTCCTCTTTAAATAATCTAAATGTGGTACTTTAAGAACAAGTGAAGCTGAATTATTGACGTCCAGAGGGTCCCCTCACCCCAATAATCTTGATTTGGTTATCATGTATTTGGGGAATTGATGGAGTATAGATGTTGAAGTGTCAAGTAATAACCTTCCCTTAGTTCAAAGTAAGAATGAATTAAATAAATAGGAGTCAGAATTCATCGAGGGAATTAAAATTAGATTTGTTTTTAAACAGAATGTTATAAAACTGATATTTAAATACAAGTGTACACAAACCTTCAAACTTATTACCACCTACCTACCTGATAAATACTGATTCAAGAAACTGCTTTGCTGAATCCAGTCAATTCTCTTCAGGTCATCCAGTGACGGTTTAATTATCTTGGCATAGCTTTGGTTTTTAAGTGCAAACACTCCACTCATTCTCCCCACACACAGTATATTACCAGCATATGGTACAAAACGTGACTTACTAGAAAGCTACTTGCAAAGGAGGTCCGTAGAATGAAGATTTCTCAGACGTCTGTGATGACACTTTTGTCCCTGCTGTTAAAACATATTTTGTAGTTTTAAAATGTATTCATAGAACCAAAACTTCTGAGTTTTCATCTTCGATAACTGGATTTCTGAGGGTGCCGAGTCTTTTTTCAAGTTGCTCATTTTAGTAAACCTCTTTGTCACCCCTGAGTTCTCCGAGAAATGACACCTGCCTATCTGTCCATCTGTCATCTGTCTTCTTGGTAAGTCCCCTGCTATGTTGCCAAGGTAACACTACCTGCTACAACACTGCAAGGAATGGCTATCTCTTTGCTGGACTTCTGATATCAAATGCAACACTTGACTTTCAAAACCATGGCTTTTCATCCTTAGGGTAAAGGTTTCTTCCATGGGAGGTGAGGCAACAGGCATTCTCAGGGTTTACCTCAACTGTTCTCTTAGTCAAGAGCTCCTTCCACAATCAGGAAGCCAAGACCCCTAAGCCTACAGCCTCCTTTTTTTTACCCTACCAGACTCCATCTCCCACAAAGGCATCTAGAAGTGCTGGAGATAGGAAATCTCTGGCAGGAAGAATGACAGAAGCAGTTTTCAATATTTAGCATGACTCAAAATAGACCCTGACTCTTTGGGAAAGATCCTGATGCTGGGAAAATTGGAGGCAGGAGGAGAAGGAGACGACAGAGGATGAGATGGTTGGATGGCATCACCGACTTGATAGACATGAGTTTAAGCAAGCTCCAGGAGTTGGTGATGGACAGGGAGGCCTGGCGTGCTGCAGTCCATGGGGTCACAAAGAGTCGGACATGACTGAGTGACTGAACAACAACAGAATAGACCGCAGGTTGCACAGTAACAATGCAGCATCTGGACTCAACCCTTCCTTGCTTCTGGCTGAGTAGCTATGAAGTGGAATCCAAGTCTCTTCTCAACCAGCTCCCGGGCAGATGTACAACAGAGTCTGAGGAACAGTGACCTAGATTACCTCATCCGGGGACCAAGTTAGACAGTGTTTTTTTACACATGGGACCTGGATTTCCAGCTCTGCTGGAATACTGAATTGAAAATACAGATTCCTGGGAATGCAAATTAGTACAGCCAATATGGAAAACAGTGTGGAGATTTCTTAAAAAGCTGGAAATAGAACTGCCATATGACCCAGCAATCCCACTTCTGGGCATACACACCGAGGAAACCAGATCTGAAGGAGACACGTGCACCCCAATGTTCATCGCAGCACTGTTTATAATAGCCAGGACATGGAAGCAACCTAGATGCCCATCAGCAGACGAATGGATGAGGAAGCTGTGGTACATATACACCATGGAATATTACTCAGCCATTAAAAAGAATTCATTTGAATCAGTTCTAATGAGATGGAGGAAACTGGAGCCCATTATACAGAGCGAAGTAAGCCAGAAAGATAAAGACCATTACAGTATACTAACACATATATATGGAATTTAGAAAGATGGTAACGATAACCCTATATGCAAAACAGAAAAAGAGACTCCGATGCATAGAACAGACTTGTGGACTCTGGGAGAAGGCGAGGGTGGGATGTTTCAAGAGAACAGCATCAAAACACGTATATTATCTAGGGTGAAACAGATCACCAGCCCAGGTTGGGTGCATGAGACAAGTGCTCGGGCCTGGTGCACTGGGAAGACCCAGAGGGATCGGGTGGAGAGGGAGGTGGGAGGGGGACCGGGATGGGGAATACATGTAAATCCATGCTAATTCATTTCAATGTATGACAAAACCCACTGCAATGATGTAAAGTAATTAGCCTCCAACTAATAAAAATAAATGAAAAAAAAAATAAAAAAAAAAAAAGAAAATACAGATTCCTGGGCCCCATCTCCTGACTCAGAATCTGAGCACGGGATCCTGAGGTCTGAAGTTTAACAAGCATGTGGAGGAGGTTATAATGACACTAGAGACCAAACAGACCAGGAACCAAACCTCACTTCTGCCACCTAAGCAATCAAGTGTGCATGCTCAGTGGCTCAGTCATGTCCAAATCTTTGCAACCCCGTGGACTATAGCCTGCCAGGCTCCTCTGTCCATGGGATATTCCAGGCAAGAATACTGGAGTGGGTTGCCATTTCATTCTCCAGGGAGTCGTCTGGATCCAGGGATGGAACCCACATCTCCTCCACCACAGACAGATTCTTTACCATTGAGCCACCTGGGAAGCTAAGTGATCGTAAACACATTTAAAGACAATTTCTCTGTGTCTGTGTCATCCGTAAAGACAAGAGTGATGCTGTCCACCTCTTGAAGGGATTGTGCACATTCCATCACAGAATCCATGCATTCAGGGCTGTTTCTGACCCAGCCCTGATGCTATCAGCTGGCAAGGAGGGTCTATAGTGTTAAGCAAAGTACACCACCTAGCCTGGTCATCATTTCTGAGTAATGATGGATTCTTTAAAGGACAGATAAACAGGGGATAACTTCTTCCAACCAAAAGTCCAACACACTTTATTTTTTGATGTGGACCATTTTTTAAACCTTTATTGAATTTGTTACAATATTGTTTCTGCTTTGTGTTTCCATTTTCTGACCTCAAGGCAAGAGGGATCTTAGTTCCCTGACCAGGGATTGAACCCACAGCCCCCGCATTGGAAGGC